ACGGACAAACAAAGCATTTTTGTATAGATTTAATTTGATTCAAAAAATACCTAGTTGTTCTATGTCTAGGGATTTGTAGGTCTGCTGTGAAAAAAAAAATTCAAAAACTATGCGATCGATGTAGCGTTTTTTACAAAACAAAAAATGTAGTAAATACAAAGAATTTATAATTAAAATATTCTTTGGTAAATACTAGGAGGACCATTTTACAAAAAAAAGTCAGTCGGTGGAGTTGGAAAATATTTCTACTACTAAAATTTATGTAGAGGTGGGGGTAGTTTTTACCCTTCCCATACTTTTTCATGATTTTTGTGAAAGTCGAATGTTAAAGCGCTTAGCAAAACATAGGCACCCCAAATTCCATTCAAATCGAAATTTCGGTACTAAAAAATGTGTTTATATTTTTAAAGTTCGATGCCCTCTAATGGACAAACGAACCACTTATGTATCTCACCAATGAACTTATTTTGATTCCAAAAATACGCAGTAGTTCTATGTCCACGGAATATTGGGAGACCCTGTATACGCGAAAAAGTGATTTCTTTAAAAAAAAATTATAGGCGAGACAAATAAAATAAAGTCAAAAGATAGCAATTGTCTTCATAACTGTAACAAGTGATAAATATTTTACAATTATTACCGAGAGATAGCTATACAAATCTAAAAATGAAAGGAACAATAATCCATTTAATTGGTACTGTCAATTAACCTTGAGAAAACAATCCAGTATGTTATATGGTTATGAATTGCTTTTATCGGAGGGGGGCTTTAATCCTAGGGAGGCCATTACCCCCCTTGGATAAAAATCATTGTTAGATGTTAAATGAAACTGGTTTAAGGGAAATTTCACTTTTTCCTTTTGAAATATTCACTTAGACTAATCATTAGACTGACACGACATCTAAATAGATAAATTCTTTGCAATTTTAACGACGTACAATAAGTTATGCATAGTGGTTTTTAAACGCTAGTAATTTGTAAAAATTGTTTTTAGGGTTCGATGTCTCAAAAGGAAAAAACGAAGCCTTTACCCTTACAGGATCACTTTGTTGTCTGTCCGTCCGTCTGTCATTAGCGTAACTAGCAATTTATCCTGGAGTGGGCCTGGGGGGGGCTTGGTGTTGGCCCAGGGGGGGCCTAGAGCTCTTGTTTTTTTAAAAATGAAAAATAATTTTAAAAAGCACATTTTTTGAATAAAACGTTTACATGAATTTCTCTATCAATAAATTTCATAGACTTGGTTATCAAACCGTGTTCCCGTAGATTACTTAAATACCTACAAATTTTCAAAAAAAAAATTAACTCATTTTTTGAACACAACAAAATAATATTAACTAAACAAAACTAGAAAACGTCATTTTTACTGCATCACAAGCAAATAAAAATTAATACGTAGCCAAGAGTCATAATTCAGGATTTCTCTGGGAGGTGCCCAGCAGTACCTGGGGGGCGGCACCCCTGTAGTTACGCCAATGCCGTCTGTCAAATCAAACCCTTTATCTGGGGAACGCATGGAGATATCCAGTTGAAATTAAAACCATATGCTCAGGTCTACAATCTCGTGAAGCTGTGAAAAAAATGCAACTTCTAAGTTAACGTAAAAAAGATACGGCCGTTTATGCCACAAAAACGTAATATTTCGACACTCTCAAGAGAATTAAAATTCATAACGGGTGCGTCCCAAAAGTAGCTCACCCCTATAACACTTTTTTTATTTTTTCAGATAAAAAAAAAACGAGATTTGGTATGTTAGTATATGACGTATTCAATTCCCTTCGGCCACTTTCTGTTTCACCGGAAATGACTACAACCATAGACTTAAAATAAAATATAGACTACACTATTTACATCTCAACGCGGACAAATAACCTTTTTTGTACACATGTTTACTTCTGGGTACAGTCGACCGAGCCTTCCTCATCCAGCCTATGTTGTCACGTCTTTAATATTATCAATATTTTTTTCTTGTTATACACATATATTGAGATATTAATACTACAGTTTAATAAAGTAGGTTTTAATATTCCAGAGATGTATTAAATAGTCCTTATACTACTAAATTATAAGTCGGATACTGTTTAAAAAGGATAAGTTCTTTACAATATGACAACACCGATTAGAGGCGAGGGAGCCTATTCATTCATTTATTACCTTGTAGTACGTGTCGCACGTGTGCGGTAAAGCTTTGTTGCCGCTATCTCCCCGGCTGTATTAACGCATTTTCTTAGCTTGTAGTGCTTAAGTGTTTATTTTATTGACTTTTTCTGTTCAAGAACTATAAAATATGGTTCGCCAGTGCCAAATTTGCAAGAAATTTGACTTAAATAATCCATTTAAGTCTTGAAACGACTTTTGACCGGTAGGCAACTCTCAATTTACCCATTGGGAGTCAGTGGCGTTGTTGTAGAAAGGCGCTTATTTAGATAATATTTTAGTAAAATGTAAAATCTGAATTTTTTCTCTTACATTACATTATTTACTTACTTACATTGTAACAAAATCATAATTATAACCCTGTTAATAATTAATAATGTTTTTATTAAAAATATATTCCGGTTTATTCTAAAATTATCTTCAGAATCTAAAATAACATACAAGAATTTTAAAATGATATTACATTATGAAACAATATTTTTTAATATACCGGGTCGTCTCAAAAGTGGCTAACCCTATAACTTTTTTATTTTTTCATATAAAAACAGATTTGTATGTTAGTAGGTATATGACATAAATTGATTTATTGACGTATTCAATTGTTTTTGGTCTCTTCCTGTTTCACCGAAATGATTACATCTTTTGATTTTTAAAGGCACCCTCGGTATATTGCTACTTTATTCGATAAAAAATGACACTCTGAATAGAATGACATATCATATGTCAACTTTTGACATTGTCGCTTAAAAACATATCCTATTTTAAATTTCAATCCAGTTTTTTTCAATCCACTAAGTTTTAATCAAGGAACCTTGGAAAAATAGTTCTGATCGTCTAATAGGTTTCGTGTCTTGTCTAGGCCGGTTAAAAGATGTACAAATCGTATTTTTAATCATACATATGTCAATTTTTTCAAATGGAACAAGGGTGACTCATTAGCATATTTGGAAAAAGCATTTTTTTATGAATATATTGATACCACACACTTGGTATTTCGAGTCAAATTGTCGTTATGAACCGCGTGTTACAATTACAATTAAACCATATGCGAAAATGTCAAAAGTTGACATATGATATTTCATTCTATTCAGAGTGTCATTTTCTATCGAATAAAGTAGAAATATACCGAGGGTGCCGTTTAAAAATTAAAAGTTATAGTCATTTCCGGTGACACAGGAAGTGACCAAAAACAATTGAATGCGTCAATCAATCCTAATTTATTTCATATACTAACATACTAAATCTTGTTTTTTTATTTGAAAATATAAAAAAATTATGGGGATGAGCCACTTTTGAGCCGCACCCGGTATAATAAAGACAGTACCGAGTTAAATAAATGTAGTTTTTATTTTATCCACTTCCTATCACCTTCCTTGCTTTAATGGAACAGATTTATGTTTTCTCTAATTTACATAATAAGACATCACTTAACTAGAAAAAAAATTACAACAATCATTTTTTTTTCTCTCCCTGTCGCCGATTCTATTATATCTGTGGAATAGATCCGGTTTTGATTAATATTAGGGGTTGTAAATGTTTGACTAAAATTAATAATTTATTATTAATTTCAAAAATTACGTAATTTCGATTATAAAATTTCTTCTATAACGTGTATTTTATTATGTTTATCCTTTTCGGACTCTAAGACGTTTTTTCTAAACTTTTATGTAAAAAACCTGTCCTAAATCTTAATAAAATATAAAAACGTTTAAATACGATATATTTTTAATTTACTTATAGCTTCATTAAAATAAAAAAATTACCCGGCTATGATACGGAGAGTTCAGGTGTACTTGAGAAACGAAAGACAGTGTTGTGTTTCTCGGCAGAGTCGTCAGGGAACGACCGTTGACAGAGACAACCTATCTATCGCTCGTGTCGCACTCGTTATAACCTAAAACAATAACACAACAATAACAAGACAGTATCTGACCGCATGTTCCAGCTATTTATGAATGAGATGCTCAGTCTATATTTTATTTTAAGTCTATGACTACAACTTTTTTTACCATATTCGATAGAAAATGACACTCACAATGAATAGAATGACATATCATATGTCAACTTTTGACATTTTTGCTTAAAACAAAATAGTATTTTAAATTCATATTTAGAGTGCCATGGCTGTGTTAAAAACAGTAATTTTTAATCAAGGAGCCTTGGAAAAAAAACTTTGATCGTCTGATGTTTTTAGTGTCTTGTCCTGGCCGGCTAAAATATACCCAAATTGAATTTTTAATCATAGTTCCATTTTTTCAAATGGAACGGGGGTGGCCCATTATCATATTTGGAAAAAGCATTTTTTTACGAATAATTTGGTACCAGACAATGGTATTGGTATTTCGAGTCAAAAAATTGTCGCTATGAATCATGTTGCAATTGCATGTTGCAATTTCAAATAAACCACATTCGAAAATGTCAAAAGTTGACATATGATATGTCATTCTATTCAGAGTGTCATTTTCTATTGAATAAAGTAACAAAATACCGAGGTTGCCATTTGAAAATCAAAAGTTGTAGTAATTTCCTGTGAAACAGGAAGTGACCGAAAACAATTATTGAATACGTCAATCAATCCAATTTATGTCATACCTATACTAACATACCAAATCTCGGTTTTTTATCTGAAGAAATAAAAAAGTTATAGAGGTGAGCCACTTTTGAGACGCATCCGGTAGGGTATTTTCCGTTGACTTAGAACTACGAAATTTGGCAAGTAATACCGTCTTAGGAAAAAATCAGAAAACAACACAATGTAGTCTTTATTTAAAGTACCTAATCAATCATCGAGGTTAAGCAATTCTAGATTTTTTAAACTTATTACAAATTCTCTCCTTTTTTTTTAGAATCCCATACTTTACGATAACGCTTACATCAACGTCGAAGACCACAAGGAATCCATTCTCAAAACCTACGCCCTGATGGAAAAATTCCTACGTTCCTACCCTTGGATAGCTGGAAAAAGGGTCACCATCGCGGATCTGAGTCTGATCCCATCCATAACATCACTGAACGTGATCGTACCGATCGACAAAGAGGATTATCCCAACTTGGCCAAGTGGATAGAAAAAGCCGAAACCCTGCCTTGTTACGTGGAAAACCAGAACGGTTTGAATCTTCTGAGAGATTTGTTGAGTAACCGTTGTTGTTGTCCCTGTTGAACCTTGAAAGCAACAGAGAAAACTTTTATGAATGTTTATAATCTTAGGCTAAGTATAAGTAGGACGAACTAAAAGGTTTATAATATACCTCCTAGATGTAATTTTTAAAGCTCGATTATTGTCAGTGTTCAGTTATATAGGGATTGGAGTTGAATTATTAAAAATTTAAAAAAAAAACATAAAATGTTATCAATTTCAACTACTACTAAACCGTGTACTTCAGTGTTGTCATGTCATAAATATCACGTAACACTTTCAGGGACTTTTTTCCATTTTATTATATCTGGCAAGTTTATTTTGGTTCAATTTTGATTTGAGAAAAATCATTGAAATATCGAAATGTTTGTTTTTATGCAAAAATCATCAATACATTTGTTAATGAATTTTACATAAGGAATATAATTCGTTAAATAAATGAATTATATATAATAATAAAGTAGTAGTGTATAAAATTTAAGTCAATTTTATAATGACCGATTTCTATATTTACCTATATGGAATGACATTTTAATTCAGTCAGACAATTAATTGTTTCTTATCAAAAATTGAAATAAATTATAATTATTGTGATATGTATATCAAAAAATTAAGAAAAATAATAATAAAAAAAAAGAATTTAAACTATATTGTTTTATTAAGAGTAAAAATGATACTTTTTGTTCCGAGGCAAAAATAGTATATTGTTTTATTAGGAGTAAAAATCATGTAAAAATGACGCTTGAGGAAAAAATGACACTTGTAAGTTTGATTTAGCTTGGTTGACATACATTTGATTTGGTTGACATACAGCCGAAGCACAAAAAGTCATTTTTACTCTGAATAGAACATACTATTTTTTTTCAAACGCCACAAATAATTTTTTAAACAATTTCAAATGTTCCAAATAATATAGACGATTTAAAAGTCATAGGCGTAAAAGTGATTTACTTTTATGCTTAGGCGTTAAAATGACTTTTTTTATTGTTAATCACGTCGCAAAAATTAATACTTTTGTGACGTGTGAAAAAAAAAGAATATTGTTGTCTGCAACTGTCCTGCTGAATGGGATTGTTATAATTTCATAGATTAATTATTGTTAAAGATTGTTGTATGTAGATGTCGGTAGCGATTATTTTTCTTATGTAAAATTTATTCTAAACTTTTTAGTGCCAGTCTTATCTGTTATATAACACATTAAACTTTTTATAGCTTTACTTTGTGTTGATATTGTTTCTGTATGTTTTTAGTTTTAAATATATCTAAGTGTTATAATTTTTTGGTTTGGTTTGACATTTTTATAGTACTAATCAAATCTAAATCAAAAATTAAACTTTTCCAAAAAAGAGAACAAATTTTCTTTTTACATTTATAAAGAATTGTCATACGACATAGTGTAGAGGTTATTTGCCACTTACTATACTTTTTATATTATGAATAGTGATGTTGATTTAGTGATTAGCAGAATTTGCTCTCGCGGAGTTCAGCGTGGATGCATCTTCTGTATTTTTTTGTTTTATGACACATGGTAATTTTAAAAATTGCCAAGATAAAACATGTAAAAAATAAGAATATTATTAAAAGGAACTTTGTTACAAGTTCATAACAGATAGCAAAAATATCACATCTATGTGTTAATTTTAATAAATAAATATATACTTTCAAAAAATACATTTTCTGAAAAAGAACTTAAAAATTGTATTTTTTTCTTATGAATAAATTATTTTTAATTTATTTTTCTATTATTTACAGGGCAGTAAATAATAAAAATATGACTATTTGCGAGACAGTAAAAAATACTAAAAATCGAATAGATAATTTCCCATTTTATCGAACCAGAAAGGTGCCCGAAAAAAATAAATTTTTTTTTAGTATTATGTTGCTTTGGTTTGATTTGTTTTTTTATTAGAACTCGAAATTTCGGGGAATTTTTATTTCGGTAAATTTGTGTGTATTTCTGTAATTCGGCGATTTTGTTTTCGGGCAACTCTCTTTTCGGGTAATTATTTTTCAGTCAATTGCTTTCGGGGAATTCTCCTTTATTGTTTTCGGTCAATTTTCCTAGATTCCTTGAAAATATTGTATTAGTGATTGTTAATATTTACTGTGCTTTATGTAAAAGAAATATGATTTTGAAAACGTTCCGAAAAATATACCAAAAACTGAAATTTTCTGAAAATCCTTGTATCTTTAAACTGATAAAAAAAAACTTTCTAAAACATAAAATATTTTTAAAACATAAAATGTTTTTTTATTATCATTTTTATAACGTTCTCTCCATTTTTTAATTCTCCATCTAACAAAGAAATAATAACAGGGCGTTCCATTAAAAACTATTTATAATATAATAAAATTTAATTTAAAATTATTTTATATTCTAGAAAGTTTGGCGTAGAATTTTGAACACCTTGTATTGTTTAAGATTACGATATTTAAAGCAAAGTAAGTATAGACGAACTATAGTAAATACCTAGTATAGTTTTGATTTCAGGACGTCTCTTGTATTTTTATTTAAAAAAAAGGCTGAAAAATATATATTTTTTATTTATTTATTAATATTTCTGAAACCATCAAAACATATTTAATAATATCTTAGGATTTGTAGGGTGATTAGAAAGGAAGCCAAAAATGCAATAATATACAGGGTGTTTAAAAAATACCATACTGATCCACTCTCACTTTTTGAGCCACCCTGTAGAATTTAAAATATTTTCCTGAAATACATCCTAATACATACTTTAGGTTGGCACTTATCCAAAATTTCTAAGTTTTTTATTATAGAAGCTACAGATGCCCGACGCATTGTTGCCGGACACGTATAAAGTAGTAGGAAGAACTTTGAACCGTGGCAACCCCGATTTGCGGCAACTTTTTGATTGGCACCCTGTTAAAAGTGTATTATTTCCATTAATTATTCATAAATATTCGTAAAAATTAGGTTTTGATTAAAAATATGATGAGCGTAATAATCCTGCAGCCGGATCCTGTTCTATACATAAAGCAACAACATATTTAAAATAATGGTTTCGTAAATTTAATAATAAACAGTCGAGTCGTATTAATTAAAATAATTTAAAGCAAAAAGTGAGAAATAATTTAACTGTTTTATTAAACTAAAGCGTTATATTTTTATACATCAAAATCAAACAAATGGTTATAAAAAGATTTGCAAATTTAATCCCACTTTATAATACCGTCTACAAACAATTTAATCGAAAACAAAATCCGTCTCGACAATAAAATTATTGTTATAAAACTTTTCCAAACAATGTCGTTTAAATAATGTAAATATACCGACACCATTATGTAACCACTATAAACAAAAAAAGTATTAACATTCATATACTAAAAATGTGGTAAATGTAAATGAACCGAGCTATATTATCGTTTTGCTACACCGCCGCGGTCAGTTCAAGCTCGAAAATGGCTATAAAACTATATTATTTCGAGGCTGCTCCACCTGTCAGATCAGTGTTGATGACTATTAAAGCTCTAGGACTTTCTGTGGACTTAATTAGGCTTAATCTGTCGGAGAAGGAACAATTGGCAGAGAGTTATTTAAAGGTATGTATGAAATGATTGAATGAGAGATTACTTTTGTCGAGACGCTTTTTAAATAAATTGATGGGGGTCAATCCGGGGTCAATATAGATTAGTTTTTGTTTCTGAAAAATGACGATAGATGATGCTAGATGTTTTAAAAATATTTTGATAGATATACCGGGTGTTTTTTAAAAGTGGCTCCCATCTATATTTTGTTTCATTTTTTTTCAGATAAAAAAGACATATAGTATGGTCACAAATTAACTACAACAGATGCGAAAGAACACCGAATTACGCGTTCAGGTTTCTGTGACCTTCAGAAAGAGTTCATAGACAATCCGCATCAATGTATAGTTTGGGTTATTATTTGTTTGGGTGAAAATCATCTGCACCAATATGTTATCGAGGCATATAATCTCACAGTAATTTAATAGATTGCTCGTCATATTATATCAGTTCGTAGGAGATTAGGAAAAAAAAGATATTTATAGTATAAAAAATTAATTTATTTAACAAAATTTAATTAAAGATGTGACGAAATAGTTACTTTTCTATTGGTTCTATCGGACTTTTTTCGACTATATAAATCTTTATTTTTTGTAAACTTTAATGCATAAAATATTTTCAATCTAATAAATAATTTAATGATGTAAATAAGAGGAAATTTCTCACATGGGTGGTCAAATTCTATAGTTTTCATTATATCAAACAGCCTCTGAATGTTTTCTTCAGTGCAAAACTCATCAAAATTTAATATAAATAATTTTTCCATTTCCAGTAAATAAGATGAACAAATTTTTCCACTTTCATGATCAAAGGCTTTTAAATGGGTAAATAATTTGGACTTATCCAGAGATTCGGATTCTTTTGCAAATTTTAGGCAAATATCACATTGATGTATTTGAAGACCCTTTTAATTGATGTAGTCAAACATAATTAAAGGCATTTTGAGTTGAAAACATTTCTCAGAGGCTGTTTGATATAATGAAAACTATAGAATTTGACCACCCAAATTTCCTCTTAATTACATCATTAAATGATTTATTAGATTGAAAATATTTGATGTATTAAAGTTTACAAATAAAGATTTATATAGTCGAAAAAAGTCCGATAGAACCAATAGAAAGGTACTATTTTGTCACATTTTTAATTAAATTTTGTTAAATAAATTAATTTTTTATACTATAAATATCTTTTTTTTTCTTATAAATAAACACATTTGTATCCCATTTTAAATAAGATATACAAATTACCAAAACTTAGAAATAACAGTTCAAAAGTTCTACAAAAATCCTATACCCGTTTTTAAAAAGCAACATATAACCACGCACTATGTCATTCCAGCAAGCGAATACGACACAGCATAGGTTTCCGGACTAAACGACTGGTGTATTTACACCACTCAATAGGCGTGTGGGGTTTGCCGAGCGGTTTCCGATGCATTCGCTTTCTTTCGCATCTGTTATAGGTAATTTGTGGTATGGTAGTAGGTATATCACATAAATCGGGATTGATTGACGTATTCAATTAGTCTCGATCACTTCCTGTTTCACCGGAAATGACTATAAATTTTGATTTTTAAACGGCACCTTCGATATTTTTTTACTTTATTTGATTGAAAATGACATTCTGAATAGAGTCGCATATCATATGTCAACGTTTGGCATTTACAATTAAGAAACATAGCGTTTTAAATTTCAATCTAGATAGAGTGCCATGGCCGTGATAAAGCCATCAATTAATATTTAATCAAGGAGCTTTGGAAAATAGATTTGATGGTGTAATGTTTTTCGTTTCATTTCTTGGCCGGTTAAAAGATGCCCAAATTTATTTTTAATCATATCTCAATTTTTTAAATTGGAACGAGAGAGGCTCATTTAGTATATTTGGAAAAAGCTTTGATAAGTACATGGTATTTGGATTCAAATTGACGTTACATTTATTGTTGTGGCACTCTAGAATCTAGAATGAAATTTAAAATACTATTTTTAAGCGAAAATGACAACAGTTGACATATCATTCTATTCTGAACATCATTTTCTATCAAATTAAGTAAAAAAAATAGCGAGGGTACTATTAAAAAATCAAAAGTTGTAGCCATTTCCGGTGAAACAGGAAGTGACCGAAAGTAATTGAAAACGTCAATCAATCCTGATTTATTTCCTATACTAATATACGAAATCTCGTTTTTTTATCTTAAAAAATAAGATATAGCGAGATATAGAACCTAAAAATGTTGTATCCTATGTTATAGGGCTTGTTTCTCTCTACAATTTTCTGTCTCACAATGTACCCTTTGTGTCCAGGAAGAGTTCATAGTTTCATAGTTGTCGATTTTCGAAAGAAATCGGTACATGCATATTATTTCGTATATTTTTCATTTTATTGATTTTATGGAAAGCACTGTTCATTAAAATGTTGTATCCTATGTTATAGGGCTTGTTTCTCTCTACAATTTTCTGTCCCACAATTGTGTCCAGGAAGAGTTCATAGTTTCATAGTTGTCGATTTTCGAAAGAAATCAGTACATGCATATTATTTCGTATATTTTTCATTTTATTGATTTTATGGAAAGCACTGTTCATTAAAATGTTGTATCTTATGTTATAGGGCTTGTTTCTCTCTACAATTTTCTGTCTCATAATGTACCGTTTGTGTCCAGGAAGAGTTCATAGTTTCATAGTTGTCGATTTTCGAAAGAAATCAGTACATGCAGTGCCTATTTTACCATAAGGCCCATAAGGCCCGTGTCTTGGGCCCGGTGGTCTGGGGGCCCGTTAAAGGTTGTAAAATATTCATAATTTTTGAATTTTATCGGAAAAGAGGGCCCGAATTTTTGCTTGAGCCTTAGGGCCCGACCAGATGAAAAATAGGCCCTGAAAGAGCATATCTTGCTATGAAAAAAAATAATAAATCCTAATATTTCTGACTTAAATTCCGGTTTGCACATTTACAGTGCTTCCTATATGACAGCGAATGCCCGTCTCTACCAGTTAGGAATTGCACTGCATCAAAGTGCACTCTAATCCCTCATCGGGCAGGACGAAAAAGGTGCCGAAGTGTGCCGTGGGTATTTGCTAAACGTATTTATTTATTAACGAACACTTTTCTTGTGTAGGTATGAATTTAACCTAGTAGATACTGTAATTTAAACTGTAGTTAATACCGTACCGAGAAAAAAAAAACGAAAATAAACAAAAATGAACCAACAAACCTAAAAAATGGTATACTTCCGAAAGAAGCTTTTTTGCGTATCTACGTTCAGAAAAAATTCTAGAATGAAAAACAGAAATTTATTTTCATGTACTCTTTTTTTGTGTCACAGTGTCACATAGGAGGCATTGGGCGCATTCAGTAAACACGTAAAATCTTAATTATTTTTGAAGTTATTATAAATAATAAACAAAATACAAGAAAAAATATATAATTTAGTTAATTTTAAATTCAAAAATTGTTGCTTTACTACCCGTAACGTATATTATACATAGTACATAGTCACTTACCAGTGAACGATTATTTCATTCTCTCGATTTTTGACCGAGATTTGCCGAGATCTACCGCACACTGCACAACTATTTTACAGCCTTTTTCGGCAAATCTCTTTTAAATCTTTCTATAATTAAGTTTTATGTCAATTTTTAGTAAATGACGTCTAGAGATTGACTTCGCCGAAATTATCATCGATTATAATTCCTCAACCGTATTTGACACCGTTCTTTTTTCTCTCAGTTACTTCTCTCAGTTTAATAATTGTGCATCAAGTGTGTGTCAGGGTAATAAGAAGGGTCACTCATAAAATAATTAACTAGAAAGAAGTGTCAACTCTGTGTTAAATCGTGGAAACACGATACGCCACCGAAAGCCTTCGTTGTCGTCTGGAGAACTAATTTTCCAATTGACAGGTTGACATGATGGCTTCATTTTATTTCCGTTTCCGGTTATTCAATGGCGGGCCTCTTTTAGTGTAAATGTATTTTGTACTCTTTCTTATCATAAATAAAACAAAACAAAATTTTATTCAAACATATTTATTTGAAATATGAGACAACGGGACTAAATAAATATAAAAAATAATGAATTGAAAGATTTCTACAGCAATTACTTAATTATATGCAATTTTAACGTAAATTAGTAAGGTATAAGCATGACTTACAGTAATTTGTAAATAAATACGCGTATTCACAGCCATCAAGGATAGAAAACGGGGGCAGACATGAAAACGGGAGCCTTATACAAAAATCTGAAAACAGAAAAACAGATTTTTTTTACTAAAATTAACAATGTAAAAATATGAAGGTATAAAATATAAATATACTGTTTAAAAAAAGCGTCCATTATTCGCAAAGAGACCTAGTTTATAAATCAAAAAGAAGCAAAAAGAGACTTTTAGTCGGATAACAATCAGATTGTATCAGTCAGATTTACTGCATAATTGACAATAAATCGCACATACTGGAGATAACTAATGTTGGCTATAGTTAAAAATGATCTTACCTTGCTGTAAATTGTTTCCATTTTCAAAATAATCGCCGATCATAAACATAAAAAAAATTTTCTTGCATCTAAAAAATACAGAAATAGTGTTTATTTACTACCTATTTTTAATATACATGGGACATACCTAGTACTGCAGAAACGTCTTTTTCTCCAGGATTGTTCATGTAATAATATATTTTATATGCTTTATTACCTTTATATTTATAAATTTATGCCGAAATATGAAATTGAATTTACAAGACAAAACTAACCGGAGAGAATTAAAATTAAGATGGCGTCGAAATTTGTTCTAGAACAAATCTGAAGTTGTCTCTGAAATCTGTCAATTCTAAATTGTGAAGTTAGACAATAGTTAGACAGAAACATTGCTGTCCTTGTCTAGGCGGCCATACTTGTCGTCAGGAGATGACAGGATTGACACTAATGACTGTTTCCAATTTTCCTATTTCACTGTCACCCCCCTGGGGTCACTTGCTAAGCTAAACGATATTATTTTTTTAGTTTCTCTTCTTCGATGACATTAATAGATTACCGTTGTACTAAATATAATGAGAATTTAAAGTGTAAAAATTAATAGATAATACTTTTTTTTTTAATTTGTTAATAACGTATGATTTTTATTACGCATCTTTTCTTTATTTAGGTGAACCCTACGCATACTGTACCAAGTTTGGATGATAATGGGTTCATTGTATGGGATAGTCACGCTATAATACAATATCTTGTGGATAAGTATGGAAGAAATGACGACCTTTATCCGAAATATTTCGAACAAAGAACAAAAGTTAACCAAATGCTCTTCTTCGATACAAGCATCTTGTTTCCGTCTTTAGCAAGATCTGTTGTAAGTTCTTTTTTTATTATGATTAATGCTTAAAGTAGAACCATTCGAATGTAAATAGTGTAGCATTACATCTCTATTGCAGTTTGTAGTCAAACATTCGACTAAAAGGGAATGTAAAAATATAAGATGATAAATCAAGAATCTGCCAAAATGAGTTCTGTCACTTCTTCTTTGGATTGGCCAAATCTACACATGGCTTCGTTCGTCAATCCCAGCAGCTTTAGATTTCTATTAAGCATAAAATGCCTTCTTAGTAGACTCACTACTGCTTTGACAGTCTTCCTGTCTGTGTTTTATTTTCTGTAGAATGTGTTTTTTCCTGTAGAATAGGGTAATTTTAAAAACATATTAACATATTTTCAATGAATTAATAAGTAAAATAAATAATTTTTAAAAATATTTCACATTTATTATTGCTATAATCTAATAAAAAATGAAATGAAAAAAAAAAGATTAAAGAAAATTCCAGGAAAGTGAAAAAAAAAATAACTTACCTATTTATTTTTCCTTTGTAAAATGCTATTGTGCTAGAATATATCGGGTGCGTCTCAAAAGTGGCTCACCCCTATAACTTTTTTTCTTTTTTCAGAAGAAAAAACGAAATTTGGTATTTTAAAATATGACATAAATTAGGATTGATTGACGCATTCAGTTGTTTTCGGTTCCTTCCCGTTCCACCGGAAATGACTACAACTTTTGATTTTTAAATGGCGCCCTCGGTATTTTTTTACTTTATTCGATAGAAAGAAGACATTCTTAATAGAATTACATATCACATGCCAACTCAGGGGCGTAGATAGGTGTATGTTATGGGGGTGGTACTATGATTAAGTCGCAAAAAAATCACCGTCGGAATTTTTTTGTCGAATTAAAACGACGGCGATTTTTTTGTCTTCAAAAATATATAAAAACATAACACAAAAATTAAAATATAGATTTGTAAATAACATAAACAAAAATGAAACAACGACGTTTATTAGTTAATTTTCTATAAACTATAAATAAAAAACTCTAAACTATCAAGAAAAAACTATAAAAACTATAAACTATAAATAAAACTACAAAACAAAATCAAGTTTTCTAGTACGCTGTTTGGAAAACCTATCAATTACAGCATCAACATTTATTTCAATATCTTTATGGATATTGATTAGAGTTAACCCCACTAATCTGTCCTGGCCAATAAGAACACTTTGTATGCTTTTAATTAGGTCGAACATATTATAAACGATAAATCAACATAATTAAAAGCATACAAAGTGTTCTTATATGTCGGATATTAATTAAAAAAAATCCTTTCATAGTCAATGACTATTTCAATTCTCGTATCCCGTCAAGCGTCAGGGGGGGGGGTACTGTCCCCCAGTACCCCCCCCCTTATCTACGCCCTTGTGCCAACTTCTGATATTCTCGCTTAAAACAAATCGTAATTTAAATTTCAATCTAGGGTTGGGTGCAATGGTTGCGTTAAAAACACTAATTTTTAATCAAGGAGCCTTGGAAAAATAAATTTGATCGTCTAATGTTTTTCGTGTCTTGTCCTGGCCGGCCCAAATCGTATTTTTATTTTTTTCAAATGGAACGAGGGTGGCTCATTAGCATATTTGAAAAAAGCTTCCTGATTTAGAGTCAAATTGTCGTTACATTTATGGGAATTTTAATGGAAGTTAAATGCTACATTTTGCTACATTTTTTTAAGGCTGTACTTAAACTGCCGTTAAACGGTAGCTTACTAAAATGCCGTTAATAGGTATGATGTCGTTGATGTGACGCACTTGACGGCTTTATGAAATATAGGAATTTTATAAGGACTAACCAACGCTATCCACCCCACCAAATAACCAACTTAACCAACGCAACTAACCTCGACACTGATAAAAAATATAAAAAACAAATATAAATTAGTAAAAATCAACCAACCCCACCAAATAACCAACTAACCAATGAATTAACACCTTCCAAATAATCACGCTAACCAACCCGCCAAATAACTAAACCAATCCAACCAAAAAGTGTGAAACCAATGCAATAAGATCACGCTATAAGCAAAAAAAATATAAAAAAGTCTTGGTCGGCGTGAGATTTGAACCACGGACCATTCGCTTACGAAGCGATAGCCTCAGCCACTGACCCACAGGTGCTCTTGCAAAATGCTTAAGGCTAGGCATTACTTTCTGCCCACAAGAACGACGTCACAATATCTATTAACGGCATTTTAGTAGGCTACCGTTTAACGGCTGTTTAAGTACATCGTTAAAAAAACAGTAGATAAGTGGTTGGTAATAGTATGGTTAATTTTGTTGTTCTAAATCTAATTTCGTTATTGTATATCATAGTTTCATGCAATTGTTACCTTGTTTTAGAGACCAGTGTTTTATAAGGGCGCTTCAGCTATACCAGAAGAAAAAGTCGCTATAATTGAAGAAGCGTTTACATTCTTAGAAACATTCCTGAAAGCACAAGAATATCTAACAGGAAATAGTCTTTCAGTCGCCGATATTTGTGCTGTATCAACTGTTTCCACTGTTGAACTATTTCATCAAGTGAACGTCTCGAAATACCCCAAACTTAAAGCCTGGCTGGATAAGATGAAAAGCCTGGATTTTTATGAAGCTAATTTGGAAGGTTTGAAGAAATTCTCTGATATGATAATGCCACTTTTGAAATCATAAAAGTATTATATTCATTTCATTAATTAATTTGTGTATTTTTGGTTTTTTATGTAACCATCTGTAATCTTTTTTATTTACTATGTTTTAAATATAGGTACATTCTAAGCGTTTTTTTAAGCCTAATTTTTTCATTAAGCCTAATTTTTTTATGAAAATAAATAAAAAAACTATAAAAACGGCAAGCCTAGCACACCCGTACCATCTTTTTCTCGAAGCAACTATATAGACCTCCCTGTAACTTCGTTGTGGATAAAGCAAGCATATTAATTTTTACTAATCAAGAGGACGTACTCTAGCTGGCTATACTGGGAGCGTCTCAAAAGTGGCTCACATCTATAACTTTTTTATTTTTTCAGATAAAAAATCACGATTTGGTATGTTATTTAATATATGACATAAATTAGGATTGTTTGACGTATTCAGTTCTTTTTGATCACTTCCTGTCTCACCAGTAAATCACTTTTGATTTTTAAATGACACCCTTGGTAAATACCTGTTACTTATACCTGTTACTTTATTCCTTTATTCGATAGAAAGTGAAACTCTGATTAGAATGACATATCATGTGTCAATTTTTGACATTTTCGAATACGGTTTATTTGAAGTGGGGTGAGATGGCTGAAAAAAGTTTCACATCTGGCAACCAATGCGCCCTTTTGGATTCAGATAGCACATAGATAGACGAGTCTAAAAAGCCCGGGACACAAATTTTTCTGGCCCTCTAGCGGTCTTGATTAGGTAATCAAAATGGCCGTCAAAATTTTGAGACACGCTTCTAGATTTCCCGTTATAATTCAATTTTCCTTTCCGATATTAACATATATTTCAGTGATTATGAATTAGGAGAAAACATGTGCTTCCCAACGGTATATTTGGTTTTATAGTTTAGGTTCACAGAACCAAAAATATTTGAATTTTTTTTTAATTTTTTTTTAATTTTAATTTTTTTCATCGCATTTTGCTAAATAACTTGAAATCAGTTACATTTAGCTAAAAACGTGTCATATGCTTTTTTGTTCGTCAGAGAATTATCTTTCTAGCGGTATATATGATTTCTATTTTTTGTCACAAACGGTTTTTGACAATTTACCAAAATATTGTAGTGTTACACATCTAGTCGTTATGGTAAAAACACAATTTATATAGATCCTGAAAAGTAATACAACGACCTAATGACTATCTAACTATCAAATGTAGTTGCTGGAATTTTTAATGTATTTGTAAAAATATACGGAAAATGGTGTTTACCCTCCTAAGTCGTGTCCCACTGTGTTTGTAACATCAGCAGTAGATAACATTGATCACAACCAGTCTTCTTCTACTGCCTTCTACTGCCGTTTCTTTCCATGGTTCAAGTGTTACTATTATTCAGCATCCTCACAGTGAAGCAACTATAGAGATTGATGATGACAGCATTCGTATCCAGCAGTGGATCAAACGAATTCTCAATGGTCTACCTGAATATTACACTACTCTTCTTGCAACTGGTAAAGTAACAAGTGACCCACCTTTGCCAACTGTCAATCCATAGTACACCGACCACGATCCTGCATTCACCACTAGGAAAGTTTTAAGTCATTGGCTTAACTCTGTCCTCCAGAGGGTGTATATTAAAGACATACAAGTATGTGCCTACGAGCATACATACAACAAGTATGTACATACGAGCACGTGCCTACAATATCGTTTGCTGCTTTTCATGCACACAATGAACCTGGTATTAAAAAATTAGGTGTAATGCGTCGTTGCTTCCACTTCTTAATGCCGAAATTGCAACGCCATCAATGGTACGTCATATGATGGATATCATAGTAATAGCTACTGCAGAATTACATGCAAATTCAAATCCAGATGTACATGCTCAATTTCTTCGTGGTAACTTTACGAGCAGCAAAACTGCTACAACTTTTTCTGCAATATCTGACGATCAGCTTTATGAATACAATAATAAAGTTATAAAAAGTGAAGATCAAACAACATATCAAACGAGCCAGAAAAAATAAATATTAAAAAAATACATTCCAAGCTAGAATTTGGAGCAACAGTCTCGTTGCACAATACACGATACCTTCACCAACCGAGTGGGGATGGATACTAACTTCGGAAGGATCATACCGACCTGTGTGGATAGCAATTCCAGAAGTTTCAAAACACTGTGTAGAACTTACCTCCTGTACTTGCCGCAAGCGATGTACATCTTGTAAATGTGTTAAAATGGGAATACGCTGTACAAAACTTTGTGTATGACTTCTGTAACTATATATAACTGTATGTTTGAAAGCTACTTTACAGTTATACCTTGAGTGTGCTTCATGTGTTCGATTTTAAAACGGAAATCAAAGTTTCGTCTTCCGAAAAAAGCTATACTTTATTTAGTTATTCATCTAAAATTAGTTATTAAATTTTTTGCTTTTTAGCAGGTACAAAACCGCTGTATTACTTTACGAAATCTATAATTTACATTGCTGCTCTAACGACTAGCTGTGCAACGCTACATTGTTTTGGCAGATTTTTAGCAACTGTTTATGATAAAATAGAAGAAATATATACCGTTGTAAAGGTAATTTTTTTGCGAAGAAAAAAGTGTAGAACACATTTTTAGCTACATATAGCGAATTTCAAGTTATTTAGAAAAATCTGACGAAAAAATTAAATTAAAAAACATTTTTTTTAAGTAACAAATATTTTTGTTATTATAAACGTAAATAATTTTGTGAAATATACCATTAAAAAGCGCGTTTCCTCCTCTTTTATGATCACTAACAATATTTGTTAATATCGAAAAGTAAAACTGACTTATAGCGGGAAATATAGAAGCGTGTCAAAAAATTTTGGCGGCCATTTTGATTAGTTCATCAAGACCGTTAGAGGGCCAGATTTGTGTCCCGGGCTTTTTATACTTCTCTATACATGTACTATCTAAATCCAAAAGGATGCATTGGTTGCCAGATGTGAAATATTTTGGCATAATTTTAAGCTAACATACCCCACTAAACATGCGATTCATAACGACAATTTGACTCAAAATACCGTGTGGTAAAAATATAAGTGTGTGTATAATATTTGCCTACTTCATTAAGACTAAAGACGAAGTGTTTGGTTGCTTTAAACAGGCTTAATCGAACAATTGTTGACGTTGTTTATCTACGTGATAGATGTATAGCAGTAGGATGACTGTATGGCTATGGAAGCTAGCTATGGAATGGCAGGAATTCAGATGTCACTAATCCAAGAATTTTTAATCTAAGAAGTCCTACCATGGTTCATGTCCCTAAGGAAAAGAGACCAAAATGAGAGAAAATATCATCAAGGTGTATTTTAGCGGGTAATAATGAGTGTACCAAAGGTTATAGGGTGTTTGCAGACTAGGGTTGCCAACTTTCAAAATAAAAAAAAATAGAGGACTAGAGGGTAAAAAAGAGGCAACTTCGCCCCAATGTCTAGAATTTACCAGAAAGTTATGCAAACGGTATGTAATTGATGATCTTTTTTACTTCCTTAAAAATATTTATACTGACGTTAATATTGACGCCGCGAGACTAACGATTTTATGGACAAATTAGACCGGTTAATTCTGCTTAAAAAAACTATTCAGGACTGTTTAGTCGGCCAAATTTGTCCATAGAAACTGCAGTTCTTGCTGTCGATTGACGGAAGTGAAATAGAAATTGAATAATACATACTCATTTGCATATGTGAATGCAAACGAGTGGAAGTGAGACTGTGAACTACAGTGACGTAATTGAGCAGTGAAATTTGGCCAAAGTACGTATTATGTATTATTTAATGGATTAAGCAATCCTGTCTATTTATCGTTTTTAGCTCTTGTGTATTGGTCTTTGACTCATGACTCTGACATTTTACTGAACACCTAAACACTGATTACACGGAAACACTTGCGACCTTACTTAGATATCTTAAAAGCAAAAAAAATCAGCTTTTGTCAGCTGATTACGCAATTGTGTAGCTTGTGGCAACCCTGTATTTAATCCAATTTATAGATTTTTAGGGGGGCGTGGTCTCGTGGCTCCCCCTCTGTATACGTCACTAACTGTGGCGATAGACGATTATTTTTTAGATTTTGAGTTTGGCATGTAAAAAAGAGGACCTTTTCAATTCGTGAGAGAAAAGAGGACATTGAGATCAAAAAGAGGACTGTCCTCTGGAATAGAGGACGGTTGGCAACCCTATTGTAGACTGTAGAAGGTTTAGGAGGGGGCTTAACCTCAGCGACCTTACGGATCTATTGTATGTTCCCCTTCCTTGAGTTATAACGGGTTATAACTCATCATACATTCTCAGGGCTTTGACAAAAGCCAGTATCTGAGACGGCTCCACAGAGACCAGCTCTCAAGGTGTACTGGTGTTTCATTTTCCCCACAGAATCTGATGCATTCGCCGTTGATTCTCAGCTTCAATCTACTGAGGTGGACGCTGAGGAGACAGTGTCCTGTTAGAAACCCCGTGACAATCCAAAGACTGTTCTTACTTAAATCAAGGAAAAGCTGTGATTTTTCTCGGTCGTAAGTTCTGACGAACTTCTTCGAGTGTCTTAGACCGTTTGAAGGATTTCCATTCTAGGTTACAGATGGAATCCTCCAGGTTCTTCAGTTCCGCTTAACGCTGGTTTCTGCTTGGAAGTTAGTAGAGTGTTCGCTTCTTTTCTAGCCAGATCGTTTGCTTTTTCATTGCCTTCAATACCTTGGTGAGCGAGCACCTAGAGTAGGAGGACTTTATTTTCTTTGCATAATTTGTTCAGCTTCTCTAGACATTCTTTGACCAACTTCGAATTGATGTTTACTGAGTTCATTGCTGTTAATGCTGCTTGACTATCGGATAAGATGTCTACTTCCTGTTTTCGATGGTTCCTATCTAAGATAAATTGTATGCATTTTTCGATAGCGTATATTTCTGTGTGAAGGATGATGGGGTAAGTGCCCATTGGTTGAGAGTATTTAGTTTTGGACTCAAATACTCCTGTCCCTGTTCTTGCTTTGGTTTTAGATGCATCAGTATACCAAGTTATGGTATCGTCTTTTACATGCTGAGCAAACGTTCCTTCCTCCCTCTTCCAATCCTTTTTATTGCTCAATACTACAGTGAGGTGTTTTTCAAAGTTGTAAATTCTTGGTATGTCATCCACTGGGAGTTAGAGGAGTGGATTTTTCTTTTTGAGGGTGTTCCAAGCTCCTGACCTGAAAATTCTCCAAGTACTTAATCCGTCAATGACCATTCTAATCATTGTTGCATTGGCATAACTACCGACGACAATGTGCAGTGGTGTTAAGTCTAAAATGGCCTCCATTGCTACTGTTGGGCATGTTTTTATAGCACATGTGATGTAAATGCATGCCAGTCTTTGTACTTTATACAGGTTTTGCCTTGCTCTTCGTTGCTCTACTTTTGTGTACCAAGCAACTGTTCCATAGGTAATCATGGGTCTTACTATCATGGTACACATCCAGCGTAAAATGCGAGGGGCGCAGGGCTTTGTGGGTATAGTAAACGCCACGAATGTTTGGGAGTGATTCATCGCTTGATGAAGTTAGAATCGACACGCGCGCTATCATTTTTACATTAAAAACGTAAATTTTTACCGCAGACGTAGGTTTTAAAGGCCCGGTCTAATCATCTGCCTGCGCTCCTCCTACTTATTCTAAAATGTCAGCGTGATTGACAAAGACGATACTATATCGCGTTTCTTTGATTGATTCGTTTTTGTGCGTCAGTCCATTGGTGTGCTTGCAGTGCGATCAATGGGGCATTCCAGTTTATATTTATAACCAAATATGGTCGCGTTCATCAGGACGTAGCGCTACTGCAGCGATCACTAATTTTCTGCTGAACGCGCCGATTAGTTGTGAGCGCTCTGGGATCAGTCGCCATTTTTTCCATCAGGTTTAAAATACGCTACGCTACCGGTGCATGATGGATTAAACGTCACATACGCCAAATATCACAAAATGGTTTGAAAAACAAAAACAAACCATTTTGTTTATTGTTCTCGGTTGATTAATCCCCTCGATTTGTGCCAAAAATGGGTGAAAACAATTTAATATGCATTACTTATGATTTTGATCTAAAAAGCGCGTTCAGCAGGACAACCAGTCGATGGCACATCGCTCACTGATCAACTTGTCCTGATGAACGCGACCTATATGTTTTGACAAGACTTTGACAGTTTGCTGGAATCCTTTTTAAGTAATTTGTTACTAATAAATATTTTTGTAATATTCATCAATAATAATAAATTTAAAATTTTATGCACAAAAACATAAACAACAGATTATATATTGATTATTATATCTTATATAAGACTTGAAACACCACGCCACTGGAATTAAGTTTTATGTGACCTTGAACAGATTAGTTCACATGGTAGCGACCAATGAATCACTCCCAAACATTCGTGGCGTTTACTATAATGTTCTTAATATGCCTATTCCAGAGAAGTTTACCGTCCAGGGTTATTCCCAGATATTTAACTTTCTGTGATGGCATAGGGTAATTGATCCAGCAAAGAAAACGGTGCTAACTAGCAGATATGTCAGACAAGCTCCAAGTGTCAGTGTCAGTGGGAGACCCTGAAGACCTAAAGAAGTGTTACAGTCGAACCAGAAGATATCGAAGTGTCGAATAAATGCAAGAAACTTGAACACGCAGTAAGTTATTTTTCTTCGAAAGATGAGGACATTCCGGAAAGAAAAACTGTAGTTCCAGTGTAAGTGGGTGACTAAGCAGAAAAGTGACAGTGAAAACTGTCACCAACTGTTGAACCAACTAAAAAGTGCGATATAGAGGTTAGTCGCTTAACGATATACACAAAAAGCAGGTATTGACTTTGACGATACTTTTTCCTTCGTTGTACGTCACTGTAATCTAAGATTATTAATGGCTTTGTCAGTATACTTAAATATAGTTCATTTATATGTAACAACAGCTTTTTAAATGGGTTTTATGGCCTTGCCTTAGGGATATAATACAAGTGGGTATGAAAGTAAGAGAGCAATTTATTAACTTAAATAGTCATCGAGGGCATGGTAAATGAGGGTTGACAAATTTCTAAGAAATACGGGATACAATAGCAATTTGGGGGCTGTTTGTATACGAAGCAAAAAAAGAAAAAGGCATCTATGAACACTGGTAGTGACATAAGTCAGTCTGTGTTGAGAATTCAATGAATGCGTTTTATTTCGTAACGGCTCCTTTTTTCTTATTTCAAACAGTTTCTAGGAGAAAGACCTAGGTCGTGATTTTTATATATAACATTCATAATGATTTAAAATATACTGATTGTGGTCTGATTAATAGCGTCAACTTTAAGGTACCTAACAAAGATTACGTTAAAAATGATTTATTTCTTTTTCTCTTATCGGTATGCTCAGTGGCACAGATATCATGTCATTTGGTGAGCTTAGGCGCATCCTATTTTTGCATCAGGATTCAAATTTAGTGTGATATAATTATAGAATTTTATTGTCATTTTTTATTATATTATTTGTTAGCTTGGTACGTTCTTTATTAAGCATGTAATTACCTTCTTGGTGTTTATAAAGAGAAATAAAATAAAATAAAATACTAAATTAAATTAATAATAATCTTATCATAAAATGATTGGAAATAAAGTTCGAATAATTTTATTTACAGTTAAAAGAAGAGTACAGAAAATTGTCTATGTCATGAATATTATAATCCGGTCCTGGTATAATAGAATACTTTATGTTCTCTGATATCAGATATGATGGAACTGCCGACTGTAATACGTCCTTGAAGTCCATGGCAATATTAAGATATTTCAATTGTAAATACAGTATAGTTTGGTATTTTTTACGGATTATTTGGTGAAAATAAAGATGGGAAAAATGAAATTGTATATTGTTTGGGGTAGTCCACCTGTAAATTCGGTATTGATGACGGCCAAAGCATTAAATATCGAATTAGAATTACACGAAATTAATTTTGAAAAACGAGAATTCAATGACGAATGGTTTTTAAAGGTAAGTAGGTTTTGGAAATACTTTAATTATGCATGAAAATTTTCACTTATAATATCACAAGAGCTTAAATTATTTTCGGAAATTTTTTTGAGGGCACGAATATTTTGAAAATTATCCCGAGTCGAAGACGAGGGATAATTTTCCTAAAATATTCGTGCCCGAAAGAAAATTTCCAGGAATAATTTAAGCTTGCGTGGTATTCGGTAAGAAAATTTCACACCTAAATTTGAAAAAAAATATTAATCCAACATGACATTTTAAAATAATTTCAATTTGTTAAGTTGGCCAAGGTATTGATGTTTTTAACATATTATGTGTTTTGTCATTTTTGTTTGCGATTCTGTCATTAAGCTATTACTAGTTTTAAAACGTCTGTACGTAGAGTAAGAAGTGTATAGCGAAATGTCGCGATTTGGAAAAGTAAACCAACAAGTCATTAAAGAAGAAATTGAAAATATAAAACCAGATAACACCCGAAAATCAAAATCAAGTGTATGGAAACAGTTTGTTGAATTTTGTTGAATCATATAGATATATCCATCATATTTCGTTAAATAGAAAAATACCAGCTTTAGTTAAATAAAGGCGGCAGAACTATATTTTTTAGAACATGGCAATTTCGAAGAAATTCATATGTAGGTATATCTAACATATTTCCTTAAATAAAAAATATTACCAACCTTAGTTACATCAAATGCTAAAACTCAAATGGGTAATATTTCAATATATAGACATTGTAGTTCATTCACATTATGATTGTAGATCTTATGTTTACCTTTTCAACTGTCAAAAAATTTCCACTAAAGTTTCGTGGTGCCTCGAAAAAATTTCCGGAAATTTTTTCAGTTGCCATGGTAACTAGTCAACATTAAAGCATGTTATTGGTTGAAAAGTAGAGGTGTGAAATTTTCACAAAAATTTTTCAAATCAAATCAACAAAACAGAAGAATTTAATAATTATTTTTTGTAAACTTTAATGATCAGAGTTAATATCTATATTCTAAACTTATATTAAATTAATTATTTTATGTTTATTATACAGGGTATCCCATTGTCCCAAAAAAGTTTTATATCAGGTTTCCTCTTTGGGATTTCGTTTTATTTTTCAATATTTTTTGCCTTTTTTTCAAACATAATAATATACCTACAATGGTTGCGCACAACACTAATGTTAATATACAGGCTGAGGAAAACTTGTATACTATAAATTTTTAAAACTAATCATACACTAAAATAGACATTGCTTCGTATACCGGGTGCATCTCAAAATAGCTCACCCCTATAACTTTATTATTTTTTCAGATAAAATAACGAGATTTGGCATGTTAGTATATGATATAAATTAGGATTATTGACGTATGACGTATTCAATTGTCTTCGGTCACTACCCGTTTCACAAGAAATGACTACAACTTTTGACTTTTAATGGCACCCTCGGTATTTTGATTGGAAAATGACACTCGAATAGAATGACATATCATATGTCAACTTTTGACATTTTTGCATATGATTTATTTGAAATTGTAACATGCGGTTTATAACGACAATTTGACTCGAAATGCCAAGTGTGTGGTACCAAATTATTCGTACAAAAATGCTTTTTCTAAATATGTTAATGAGCCACCCTCGTTCTATTTGAAAAAAATGAAATATGATTAAAAATACGATTTGGGCATTATACTCACATACCAAATCTCGTTTTTTTTATCTGAAAAATTTAAAAAGTTATAGGGGTGAGCTACTTTTGAGACGCACCAGGTATATAGGGTGAGTCAAAACAAGATATTATATTTTTGGCTGTTATTTGATATTAACAATAATTAAGGTAGTTTTTGTCAATTTTTTATTAATGTCATAAAATACACACACAGAATGTTTTATTTGAAATAATGAAGATAAATATAAAATTTCGTTTTCACTCACCCTATAGTGTCCCCTACAAGTACGAGTCTTACTAACATCGAATTATAATTTCTCATGTAAAAAATATCCAAATGTCAATTTACAACCAAATATGTATCGACTTTAGTTCAGAAAATATATGAAAAAAAAAACTAAATAAAAATGAAATTTCTACACCTTCTATATCCGAAACGAAGAATTTTAGGATATACATTTATACGAACTTTTACTTATTTTTATCTGCAGAATATGCTGCCGAAGTTTCCTGAATATAGTTCGGTTATCACCCTGTATAATAATACTTACGTGTACTTCTAATAGTTGCACAATTGTTTGAATTCTAATTTGTTCATTCCCTAATATTCCCGAAAACATGTATTTAAAATATTGTCATAATTCTGAAAACAAATGAAATGATACATTTTACCGTTGGCACACCCTGTACAGAAAACTTGCCAGAAAACTATGGGCAGGGTTCGGAAGTAGTTAATTAAGACGTAATTTACCTGATTAACTACGTGTAGTTTTTTCTTCAAAAACTACGTTTTTTCCCGTTCATTAACTACATGAAAACTACGCTAATAAACTATGTATTGATATTATGAATAATTTTCCTTTGTATGAGGTGTAATAGAGATAATATGATATAAATGTTATATTTAAAGTCATATTTCTTCTGTTTGTTAAATACATTATGTGTTTTTAAAGCTTCAACTTATTATAACCTCACCTCAAACCTTTGATATTTGAAAGTTACATACATAGGTTACATAAACTACACCCTCTACATAAACTACATTAACCACATGTAATGTAGTTTATGTAGTTTTTAAAAGTAACATGTAGTTTTCCGAACCCTGACTATGGGTCTTTATCGGATTAGTGGGTAAAGTGTATATAATTTTTATTTAGAACACTTGACTGAAAAATTATAGTTCACATCAAATAAACTTTTAGTCACGTAATTAAACTTGACCCGCACATTGTTGTATATTTCCTCTTAATTGAAATTTTTTTTAGGAAACAAAAATAAATTAACTATGAATATATAAACAGTTATTATTTACATCAATAAAACTCACCTTCTTAACAGCGCTTAAGAGACATAAAGGGCCATTACTGCCGCTTTCCTGTTCAAAATATTGCAATAAAGTTGCGATGAGTTTTTTTACGGATATTAAGCTATCTTGTACACTTCGCACTAAAAGTGGTTCTAAAAAGAACAATGTTCGACTGCAAGGTCTGCTATTAAAAGTTTTTAAGCTAAAGTATCACAACACTATTTATTTAAACCGAAAACTTGTAATACCAAACTAAAGTGTCAAAATAAATGACAATATCAGGAAATAAATATATAAATGTGGCAACTTGACATTTTTTACAGCTACCACCTGAAACCCCAGCGGGAAATTTAAATTTCAGTTAGTCAGCTCGGGCGGCGCCGAATATGTCCATGGTTGGCAACAATGAATTTAAAAATCGTGCCCTCGATTGCGTAACTAAAAGTTTAATGAGAAAAATGCACGTTTTTAAATAATGGTTTTAAAAAATAGTTCATATAATTACAAATTGAACAAAAAAAAATTGTTGATATCGGTTAAGAAATGCCTCTAATATAAAACAAATAAATATTGCTAATTTAAATGGCCGGGCAAACGCTCTCTACCGTGCCTTGCCGCTGTGACGTCACCCGCCGTTCTTCTGGTTGAGTGGAGCCAGACGCGTGTTTATTTTACACAGTTTGCTTTTAAACGCTGTTGAATCCGAGTCAAAATTTTAGTTATTTGTGTTAATTAATACATAATTAGTAATTAGTGATATTTATAAATAGTAATGGATGAGCGAAAACAGAAAAAAATGGTCCAAGGCCATGAGAAGAGATGAAAAGAAAAACGTTAAATAATCCTCTATTTTTACGATTTATTGTTGTGAAGATCATTTTGATGTAATTTCATATATTTATGTATATTGTCTTACATAGGTACCTATATGAAATTTGAATGTACAGGGTTAATCATTATAATTTGACACCCACATACAGCCTTAAATGCAAGTTTTAGAAGAAAACATTAAATAAAAAAGTTGCATGGTTTTTCATATACTCTCTTTTAAAATTAATTCTAGTTATACAGGGTGTCTCAAAAAAGGTGGTCCAGAAAATTGTAGGTATTTTTCGCTTTTCAACTGTCAATATTTCGTAAACATTTGAAGTTAGGTATAGGATATTATACATGAAATATTTCTAGAATATCTAGAAATTTCCGAAGAATCCAAAAATATATAGGGTGTTTCACTTAAAAAAGTAACTTAATTTTGACGTTTGCTTATGGGACACCTTGTATAATATTTTCATTACTGATAAACAATTTATTTCCTATAATTTCGTAAAAAAAAACTTTCTTTTTCACGCTATGCTCTGGAGATATTTTTCCACGTATTAAACAAATATTTTTGTCTCTTCACTTCTTCATAACCTACAGCATTATCTCCATACGTCTCCCTACCTGATCTGAAAAATAAGTTTATAACATTAATATTTATAACTATATAAAAGTTCGTAACAGTAGGTACCTACTTATACTTAAATATGCCTCAGTACTACAAAGAATAAATGTTACATACCTCTCTGTTTTTTTCCTCGTAATTCAGCACCAATAAATTGGGAATTTGTATTTATAAAAGCAGCCAACATAAAAGCATCAACTTTTGGCAAGTTATCTGATTGTGCTTTTACAAACCCGGAATCTGCCATTACTTAAAAAATTCTCAGAATACACAACACATGCAAATAATAACTGCACAAAAAAACATAAAAAGCTCCTTCAATCAACGCTAAAAGCAACAAAAATGTCTTAGTACGCCACCTAAATACGTACATAAACGGAACACGTCTGGCTGCTGCTGGCCATCGCGCGTCGACGAGAACGGCGGGTGACGTCAGACCAATAGAATATCGTTTCAATTCGCGAGGCGTCGTTTGCGTTATCCATAGTATTTTAATGGCCCGTTTTATAAAATTTTGGTACTGCTTTCAAGAAAAAATTTTTTTTTTGCATTTACACATATTTATTCTAATAAATTGAACAGTTTCTGGCGAAAAATAAAATATATGCATCTTCCTCATTGGTATCCAATATACAAATGATGTATTAACTTAATTTTTCTTTTGGCGAGCAGTGTATATCTTTTTAAAACACTTTTTTATTTTTTTAGATAAATCCTTCTCATACTGTACCTACATTGGACGATGACGGATTTATTTTATGGGATAGCCACGCTATTTTAATTTATTTAGCAGAAACTTACGGTAAAAATACCCAGTTATATTCGGATAACATAAAAACAAGAGCCCTAATCAACCAGATACTAAATTTTGACTGTGGAACGCTATTCAGACGGTTTAGCGATTGTACGGTAAGATCATATTATTTGGTATTATTGCCCCGTTCAAGAATGTAAGTACTTCAAAACCTGTTTCGATGTTAAAAAATTGTAAATGATTATTTGTTGGCGTGCTTTAAAGTATAAATTATTTTCTACAAATATTATTTATAAAAACTGGTTTATATTGAAGTCCAGTTGATTTATCTTATGTAACACTTAAAATGATTTAAGCATTGATTAAAAAAGGTATTTTCTCTGTACATACCTTTTCATTATTAAACTCATAAAAAATGTTATTAATTATTAAAATTGTTAAATAGGTAGTATATTTCCGATAAAAATAGTTAAGTTATAATTATGCAATAACAAAAATACCACATAGGCTACTGAAACAGAGCTGAAAGCTCACAGAAAACTTAATGATTTTAAGTCATTTCTCGAAAGCTGACTTCAGACTTAAAATTTAAGTCTTTTTTAAAATGATTTGTAATTTAAATCTTTATTCCGAAATATAAAAAGATTTAAGTCTTTTTATAAAAGGCAGACTTTATATTTTTTATGACAAATTTTTAACAGCAGCATTTAACTTTTGAAACTGTTAGACGACAGCCAAGCCCCAGAATAAAAAACAATGCTCAATACCACTAGTAAATAAAATGTTAGTTTTTTGGAATCGGTTTTGATTATTTGTCGTGTTATACGCGTGCGTAGTGAGTCTGTTGTCTTTAAAGTGAATCCCCGACTCCGTTATATTGCACGAAAGACGAACAAAAGAAATTTATCTCGAATATATTGGAGAGTACCTTAAAATCCTCCAGCTCTTAGCTTATGCCATCGATATACTACATAGTGATCAAAACACATCACCACTTTTTAATAGACATGTGTTCGATGACAGCTATTAATGGATACATATACAGGGTGTTTCAAAACAAATGCGAAAAACTTTAGGGGGTGATTCGTTGTTCAAAATAAAGGGTAGTTTGCTTTATAAACGTTGGGTCAAAAGTCAACCATTAGGGAGATATCGCGGTACAAAGATGGCGGAAAAATAATGTTTTTATTTTTTATCTTGAAAACGAAAAGAGACAGACTAATGAAATTTATGGAAGCATTACTGTTATAAAAACACACTTTCAGGTAATTTTTTTAAAATGAGTGGAAGGGGTTGAAATAAACTACCCCTATCATTCTTGTTAACGAAATTTAAAGAAAAATCTTATCAAACACATGCAAATGCTTTAATTTGGATAGTTTAGTTTGTTTAGAAACTTTTTTACCTCTTGTGTTTTTTTGATAAAACTCACCGATTTGAAATTAAAAAATAAAATGTAAAGCATTACATGTCAGGACAAAAAACATTTTTTTTTAGATTAAGAATCTAGTGATAATAACGTATTGCAGTAGAGTAATGTCAAATAAAATAATATTAGGAACATCCTAAAAACAAGAATGATAGGGGTAGTTTATTTCAACCCCTTCCACTCATTTTAAAAAAGTGAAAAAATTACCAGAAAGTGTGTTTTCATAACAGTAATGGCTTCCATAAAATTTTATTAGTCTATCTCTTTTCGTTTTCAAGATAAAAAATAAAAACATTATTTTTCCGCCATCTTTGTATTGCGATATCTCCCTAATGGTTGACTTTTGACCCAACGTTTATGAAGCAAACTACCCTTTATTTTGAACAAGGAATCGCCCCCTGAAGTTTTTCGCATTTGTTTTGAAACACCCTGTATAAAGTACTACAAAATCTGGTGGAGGGTCCCACCTGAGACCCACTCTTAGTCAAATACAATACTACAAAATCGGTTAAATTTTTGTGTTTGTAGTTGTTCTGAAAATTAAACTTTTTATTTTAACGGCCTTATGAATGTCCAATAATCTTTCCTTCCTAGCGATTCTTTCGAATGACAGTCCAACGCGATCCTGTTCTATTTCTCTCCCCAGATCGAGTACTTGGTCTTTGTCTAGCTGCGCAAATCTTACAACGTTAACACCATTTCTTAACATCTTCACAATAATCCACCCAGCAAAAACGGTCTCTCAGCTTGCTCAAGGTCTTGTTTACTCCAAGATGGGCTCCAGTTTTACCACCGTGAATTTCTTCCAATACCTGGGTAACTTCCTTCCTTGGTACCAGTAACTGAGTTGTTACTGTTCGGCCATCCGCACTTTCCCACGTGCCCTTTAATAATCCATTCTCAATCACCAGTGAATTCCACTCAGCCCAGAGAGCTTTGAAAACTAGCCCTCGATTCGCAATATCCTGCCACGGTGGTCTCTCGCCGTTACCTTCCTTGAGCCGTAGTATTGCTCCGATGTCTGGATCTTCCATTTGATCTTTCCTCAATTGTATCGTCGTCCATTGTTCATCAGTTCTCAGTTTAAAATTCCTTATTCTGATAGTGCTTTCGCGATGTTTCATTTTCTTGCCTAAGGTAGCTGGTCGTCGATCTGGCTCGTCGATAATTTGTACCCGTCCTACACGGCACTCAGGGGTTTTCTCCATTTTCCCGAACACAGATTTTTTGGCATCACCAGGTATCATCACAATTTCCGCTGATCTTGCTTCCATATTTCCTGGTCTCTTCTCTTTAGATACAAAAAATTCCTCATTTCCGATTTTCAGGATGTTTCTATGGTGATTGAACGAAAAACCATGTTGACTGATCACATCCATCTTCAATATAATGACAATAATGTCTGCCACTAAAACGCTATGCCGAAACTTCAAATTCCCTAACTCCAGTTCCATGAAAGCCTCTCCCCGTACAACGGCCATTTCCCCCGTAACTGTACGTAAATACATTCTTCTTCTAAGAGGCATCATCTTCAATCTTTGCACTGAGTTAGTCCGCACCAACGATACCATATCGCCTGTATCCACAGTCATTCGAATTCTTCTACCATTGACCTTCCCGTTGATCACCAAACTGTCAGCGGTTTTTCCTAGACTCCTAATGGAAAACATCCTAGAGGCTCTGTTTTCTTCAGCCAATACTCGCTCATTAGTATTGATTTCCTGGTGCCTATGTTCTCTGGATGGTAAACGGAATCGCGTTTCAACGCGGCAATCCCGTTTGATGTGGCCATTTCTGCCACATCTATAGCAACTTATGTCCTGGGATCTTCTCTGGTTCTCTGTCTGGGTGTTGTCGACTCTCTTGTTCACTAGTAAATCCTTCCGGTAATATGAAACCTCAAACTGTCCCAACTGTCGATAGCGCGGCTTTTATATAGCTGTGGGTCTTCCGGAAAATTCTATTCCAGAATTCTGTAGAATTCCTTTTGCTTTCTGGCGAATGGGCCATTTTTCTTGACACGTTGCAGTTTTAGTTGTTCACTTCTCCGACTGATGGCGCCACATACACCTTGACAATAATATGATACTTCGCCTTAATAATCGAAAATCGCCTCTAATTGGTAATGTTAGAAAATTAATATTAACATTTAAAAAAGGTACTTAAATTGAATTCTGATTGTTTTGACTTGAGGGTAATTATATTGATTTAAGTCATTTTACTGACTTAACTTGCAGATCATCATTATTTAAGTCAAAAATATAGATTTAAGTCATAAAAACGACTTAAATAATGTTATATTGATTTAAGTCTTTACAAAAATGACTTGACTTAAAATAAAATGACTTAAGTCAAAGACTTAAGACTTAAATCATTCTAAATCAAACCTATTGATATACTAACAATTTATAACAAAATTGTTGAATGTTAATGATTCTTTTTTTCATTTTTCAGAGACCAATTTTTTATGACGGTAAAAAGTCAATAGAGCAAAAACAGTTAGATAATTTGAAGGAAGCATATTCGACACTAGAACGTATTCTGAATTCTACGAAATTTTTGGCAGGGGATAACGTAACCATAGCTGACATCAGCGTTTTATCAAACATATTGCCTGGTAGCGTCATTTTGCCCATCGATAATGAGGAATTTCCTAAACTGAAATCATGGCTGATTCACTTAGAAAGTACGGAATTTTATAAAACGGGTCAGAAAGCATATGAGACGTTCAAGAGAGGATATGAATATTTGTTAGGTAGTTAAACAAATTAAAACACTCTAGCTAAAAATTGTATTTTCGTATAATTTTTTCCTGAAATATATTAATTCTAATAAATATATTTAATTGTATGATTATTATTATCCTCTGTGTGTATGTGTGTGTGTGTGTTAATTATAGATTTACATTATACCGGGGCGTCTCAAAAGTAGCTCACTCTTATTACTTTTTATTTTGTCAGTTAAAACAACGAGATTTGGTATTTTAGTATATGATATAAATTAGGATTGATTAACGTATTCAATTGCTTTCGGTCACTTCCTCTTTCACCGGAAATGACTATAACTTTTTATTTTTGATTGAAAATGACACCCTGAATAGAATGACATATCATATGTAAACTTTTGACATTTTCGCATATGATTTATTTGAAATTGTAACATGCGGTTCTTAACGACAATTTGACTCGAAATACCAAGTGTGTGGTATCAAATTATTCACAAAAAAGCTTTTTAAAAATATGGTAATGAGCCACCCTCGTTCCATTTGAAAAATTGATATGCTTAACAATACTATTTGGGCATCTTTCAACCGGCCAGGATAAGACACTATAAACATTAGACGATCAAATATATTTTTCCAAGGCTCCTCGATTAAAAATTAGTGTTTTTAACATAGCCATGGCACTCTAGATTGAAATTTAAAATACGATTTTTTATTAAGCGAGAATGTCAAAAGTTGACATATGATGTGTCATTCTATTCAGAATGTCATTTTCTTTCGAATAAAGTAAAAAAAATACCGCGAGTGCCATTTAAAAATCTAAAGTTGTAGTCATTTCCGGTGAAACAGAAAGTGGCCAAAAACAAATGAATACTTCAATCAATCCTAATTTATGTCGTATACTAATGTTAGTATACGACATTTGTTTATATTGATTTCTAGATTTGATTTCCCCTTACGTCTCAAGTGCAGTATGGTGGTGACACCAATCGTTCTGCGGTCAATGCATAAAACACTTATTTTCTCTTAATTCCGCTAGCGAAGGCATATTGAAGACGGTGTGGAACTGAAAGCGACAGTGTTGCCATATTAAGATGTGTAATATCTGTAATACGTTTTGACGAAAATATCTTTGGATGAAAAATCCGCGTTTATGTATTAAAAATTTATTCGCCGTTAAACTTAGAATAAACAGCAAAATAAAACACTAAATCATCACAATACACCAAAACACTTTTACTTTTACACTGGACGCGCGTTTCGCTAACCATGATATCATCATCAGAAGATGATTAAGACTGGACTGGACAGTCTTAATCATCTGCTGATGATGCTAACATGGTTAGCGAAACGCGCGTCCAGTGTAAAAGTAAAACTGTTTTGGTGTATTGTGCTGATTTAGTGTTTTATTTTGTTGTGGAACATCAAAGGTTCCAACCCCCAACTGTAATAGAATAAACAACAAAAATAAATATTCATTCAATCATATCTCAATTTTTTCAAATGGAACAGGGGTAGCATATTTGAAAAAAACACATTTTTTTTATACATAAATTATTATCGATTGATGTATTCAATTGTTTTTGGTCACTTCCCGTTTCACCAGAAATGACTGCAACTTTTGATTTTTAAATGGCACCCTCGGTATATTTTTATTTTATTCGATAGAAAATGAATTCTGAATCGAATGACATATCATATGTCAACTTTTGACATATTCGCTCAAAAACAAATTGTATTATAAATTTCAATCTAGAGTGCCATGGCTGTGTTAAAAACACTAATCTTTAATCAAGGAGCCTTGGAAAAATAGATTTGATCGTCTAATGTATTTACTGTCTTGTCCTGGCCGGTTAAAAGATGCCCGAATCGTATTTTTAATCATATCTCAATTTTTTCAAATGGAACGAGGTTGGTTCATTAGCATATTTGGAAAAAGCATTTTTTATGAATAATTTGATACCACACACTTGGTATTTCTAGTCAACTGGTCGTTATGAACCGCAAGTTATAATTTCAAATAAACCATATGCGAAAATGTCAAAAGTTGACATATTATGATATGTCATTCTATTCAGAGTGTCATTTTCTATCGAATAAAGTAAAAAAAATACTGAGGGTGTCATTTAAAAATTAAAAGTTGTAGTAATTTCCGGTGAAACCGGAAGTGACCGAGAACAATTGAATATGTCAATCAATCCTAATTTATGTCATATAATGACATACCAAATCTCGTTTATCTGAAAAAATAAAAATTTTATAGGGGTGAGCCACTTTTGAGACGGTATGTATATTATAAATTATTTCGACTAGGTTGCCATAATTTAATATGGTAAAAAGCTAAAACAATATTTTTTCGAATACAAATATTGCTTAAAAATGTTAAATGTCAGCAAAATTAGATAAAAATAAATAAAGACTTTTTAGAACAATTTAACTTGTGTAACTGTTATTATTATTAAACATTTTGATAATAGTTATTTTAAATGTCCCACTAATTGACGTAAGCGCGCCAATTACTGTGATTGGTTCAAAGTTACGAGGCAACGTGTTTAATATAATAAGATTTATAATGCTATTTTTTAGCCGACCATACCAATTGGTATGGTAGGCTATTAAGATCGGCAAAAAAAAGTTTTTTTAATTTCACTTAAAACTAGTTATTTGGGTCATAAATGACCTAAATACAAAATATTTTCATGGTGTTTATCTATCTGTCTGTCTGTCCGTCTGTAACACGATAACCCAAAAACCGCTAAACCGATTTTAACCAAATTTGGTACAAAAATACTGTGGCACCCGAGAATCTGGCCATTAGTTTTTGGTGGTGGTGTGGTGTTGGTAAGGGGGTATGGGAGGGGGTTAAAAATTTTAAAAAATCGTAACTCCAAAATTACAGTAGCTAGCGAAACGCGGTTTTCAATTTAAGATTAGGAATAATATTTGCAACAAAATTTGTAATAACATCAAAATCAGTCAATGTCGCAGTTTTTGAGATCAAAAAATCAAGTATGGGCGGCTATACGTGCGTCCCGGCGCCAATTTTTTTTAATTGAAAATGTCAAAAGTTGACACATATATTCTGTTCAGAATGTCATTTTCTATCAAATGAAGTAAAAAAAATATCAAGGGAGTCATTTAAAAATCAAAACTTGTTGTCATTTCCGGTGAAACAAGAAGTGACCGAAAAGAATTGAATACGTCAATCAATCCTAATTTATATCATATAATAACATATCAAATCTCGTTTTTTTATCTAAAAAAAATAATAAAAAAATAACAGTTATAGGGGTAAGCCACTTTTGTGACGCACCAGGTATTTTCTATAAAAGTAACAATCTTCTATTCGAATATCTTAAAAATACCCCATTGACAGTTGTATACACAACTACTGTGTACATCTCGTAGATTTCAAGGTATCATACAGGACGATCCCAGCTTACGAAGCAAATCCCACTAACGAAACGTTCCAATCACAATTTTTTACTCATACACACGATGACTGGGCACATTCAGTCTCCATACACGGATTTCGTATGGGTTGTAATTCCCATTATACAGTCACAACATAGTAAATATAAAATATATGAGTGGCCATGACGCTACGAAACAGTCGATTATTGCGCGCACTATCATCGTTCTGTAGTTTCATTCCAGTCGCGATATTTACAGCGTAAACACCGCCAGCAATAGAAGAACCTTAGAAACATGACCAGGCCGAAATTGTACTACAGCCCCGTCAGTCCGGCAGTCAGATCAACTTTACTGACCATCGCAGCTCTGGACCTGGACGTCGAACTGATCCCCGTCAACTTGATGGCCGGTGAACATCTCACACCGCAATTTTTAAAGGTATGTTATCTTTTTTTCGGTTAATTTTTTAATAGTTAATAGGGATTAACTGCTAGGGCTTAATTGCTGAATTTAAAATATTACCAAAAATACGTTACAATTAAACAGAGCTTAAAATTATATTATGATTATTATGAAATTAGTTTTACTTTGTTTGCTGACTGTTATAATTTTGATCGATAGTGCTAAACGATGATTGATCATATTATCTTCTCTGAAGCCTTTCTCTTAATATTTATTTTTTTTATTATTTTTAACGGAACAAGTAAGATAAAACTCCTTGATATACCGGGTGCGTCTTAAAAGTGGCTCACTCCTATAATTTTTTATTTATTCAGATAAAAAAAAGAGATTTTGGATTTTAGTATATAACATAAATTACGATTGATTGACGTATTATATTTTTTTTGGTCACTTCCTGTTTCACCGGAAATTACCACAACTTTGGATTTTTAAATGGCACCCTCGGTATATTTTTACTTTATTCGATAAAAAATGACACTCTGAATAGAATGACATATCATATGTCAACTTTTGACATTTTCGCTTAAAAAATCGTATTTTAAATTTCAATCTACAGTGTCTTGGCTGTGTTAAAAATACCAATTTTTAATCAAGGAACCTTAGAAAAATAGATTTGATCGTATTATTATTAGCATATTCGGGAAAAGCATTTTTTTACGAATAATTTGATACCACACACTTGGTATTTCGAGTCAAATTGTCGTTATGAACCGAATGTTACAATTTCTAAATTAAATAAATAAAAATATATATATATAAAAAAAATAAATAAATTGTCGTTATGAACCGCATGTTACAAATAAACCATATGCGAAAATGTCAAAGATTGACATATGCTATGCCATTCTATTCCGAGTGTTATTTTCTATCGAATATAGTAATACCACAGATTATACAGATTATAATCTTTGTTTTTTCTTTATTGTTTTCCGTGGTTCCAATTTTCGGAATCGGGCACTAGTTAGGTGATTAGTTTGCGCACATAGCACGCCCACTTATGGCCTCTAAAATTGTGCACAGCGCCTGACCGGCACAGTTATTAGAGAGATATCGGAAAACCGAATAGCGTCATCCAGTATTTACGCGTACTTTATTGTGGTTACGACCCAAGGTTACGACCGTGGTTACGATATGCGCGAGTCAACGCAACACCCGCTAATAACGTTACCGCCTGACGTAATTTGCGGATCCAAGAACTCGAAATACCGTATGATCGAATAAAAACGGCGTCAGCGATGGCTATGAAATGAAGATCGCTGTCATTTTATATGTAAAATTATATGGGGAATGTCAACGATGTTCATTTCCAAGCCAACTGGACGCCGTTTTTTTTTCGATCATACGGTACCAAGTTAGGGTTCCCAACTTGAGCATCGGCGATTCCGGGACAATTATTTTTAAGCTTTTAAATAATTGAAACAAAACATTAAATATTAGAAATTAAAATATATTATGTGTGTAGTACACACTTTTTTAGTTTCCAGGTCCCGGCCAAGACAAAACTTTCGCCGGGACAAACTTTTTGATTCCTGGTTAATCCCGGCTAAACCGGGACGGTTGGCAACCCTATACCAAGTGTGTGGTACGAAATTATTCGTAAAAAAATGCTTTTTCCAAATATGCCAATGAAAAAATTCAGACATGATTAAAAATACGATTTGAGCATCTTTTAACCGGCCAGGACAAGACACGAAAAACATTAGACGATCTAAACTATTTTTTTCCTGATTAAAAATTAGTGTTTTTAATACAGTTTTAATAAGCACTCTAGATTGAAATTTAAAATACGATATGTTTTTAAGCGAAAATGTTAAAAGTTGACATAATGGTATGTCATTCTATACAGAGTGTCATTTTCTATTCAATAAAGTAGAAGTCTCGGTAGAAATATACCGAGACTGCCATTTAAAAATCAAAAGTTGTAGCCATTTTCGGTGAAACAGGACGTGACCAAAAACAAGTGAATACGTCAATTAATCCTAATTTATGTCATATACTAACATACCAAATCTCGTTTTTTATCTGAAAAAATAAAAAAGTTATAGCGGTGAGCCACTTTCGAGATGCACCCGGTATAGGGTTGGAGACTAGGGTTGCTTCGCCAATTATGGGATTCGTCACTCGGTTAATGGAGATTACAATAATCCAGCGATCGGAAAATAGAGAGTCTACTTTACTAACATACCAAATCTCGATTTTTTGTCTGCAAAAATAAAAAGTTATAGGGGTGAGCCTGTGAGCCAGTTTTGATAAACACCCTGTATTTATTATCGTGTGCAATGCACCAATGTATTACACCAATTACACCAAGCCAAGCGCTCTTTCTAAATAACCTCTGATAACGTTTAAAAATTGCTTAAATGGGCATGTGCGGGTATTTGACAACCGGAGCCGGCCGGCGAGATCTTTTATTTTAGGTTATGTTTGAATTATTGCTTTAGTTTTATTAGGTAATTTGATATTTAAGTAGCTGGGATTAGTTTTAATTAAATAAATATAGGCCAAAATATGGATTCCACCTCTTCCAATACTAAAGAACCTATAAAGTGTCTTAGGTTTACAGCAGATGACGACTTAGCCCTTCTAAGAGAATTTGTTGCTTGTTGCCCTAAACCCACTGGCAGACGTTGAACAATAAAGCACTGGAAATAAGCACTTTAGCCCTTTAGTTTTAAAATACCTAGTAAACAAAACAATTTGAAAGTTTTAAATTCAAAGTTAGGTTAAGTTTAAATAGCGGACGCGACGCGATCAGAATTATTTCCGATCCGATAACTATAAATGAAGCGAGTTAATACCACCTTACGTAAAGGAAATAACACCTGGCCTTATTAACGTCCATGCACGCTATTGGGTTTAGCGATCTCTCTCTATTACCATGTTTATTGTTATTTTACGCGTGTTTATTTTTGCGCACAGGAAATTTGACTCGTTTGCACATCGTCATAAAAAACAATTTTCGTACCACGAATTAGGGACAAGATTTTTATCTGTATACTTATAGGATACCTAATCTGTGGTAATACGGAGGGTGTCATTTAAAAATAAAAAGTTATAGTCATTTCCGGTGAAACAGGAAGTGACCAAAAACAATTGAATAAGTCAGTCAATCCAAATTTATATCATATACTAAGATACCAAATCTCGTTTTTTTATCTCAAAAAAATAAAGAAGTTATAGGGGTGAGCCACTTTTGAGATGCACCCGGTATTTTGGTTTTTAATAATGATTCATATTACACTGTTTAAACTATACAATATCGATTATTTTTAGCCGACCATACCAACAAGTATGGTAGGCTGTTAAGATCGGCAAAAAAAAAGTTTTGGTGATAAATGATGACCTAAATACAAAATATTTTCATGGCGTCTGTCTGTCTGTCTGTCCGTCTGTAACACGATAACTCAAAAACCGCTAAACCGATTTTAAACAAATTTGACACAAAAGTACTGTGACACCCGAGAATTTGGCCATTAGTTTTTGGTGGGTGTGGGGGGTTGGTAAGGGGGTATGGGAGGGGGTTAAAAATTTTTAAAAATCGTAACTCCAAAATTACAGTAGCTAGCGAAACGCGGTTTTCAATTTAAGATTAGGAATAATATTTGCAACAAAAATTGTAATAACATCAAAATCAGTCAAAGTCGCAGTTTTTGAGATAATTGAAACTAAAAGAACTGCCTACCAACTTTTTATTAACATATTTCAGTATGGGCAGCTATACGTGCCTCCCGGCGCTAATTTTTTAAAATAAAAGTGGGGTTTGTATAAAATGTTTCTCTATAAAGTTACTTCTTTGTACCGGGGGTATCTCAGAAACTATTTATCGTAAAGCTTCAGGAAAAAAATTCTAATAAGTAAATCAGTTAAAAAAATTGCTGGAATTATCATCGATTATCATCATTAACTCAATGCAATTGCTGATTGACTTCCACTGATTGACTTCTGAACCTGACATCAACTGTTTGACATCATAACAATTATTACGCTTTGCATAAATATTTTAAATGACAGTATGTATGTTTCTTTTTAAATAATTAAGTACAGCACAACATTTTGTATGACCAAAATGGTCAAAATTGGAAAATTATATTTCTGTATTTGGCCATAATATTATTAAAAACCTAGAATTACAAGAAAAGTTTGTTTTGAATTTATTTCTTCAATTTTCATAGTTAGTTGGCTAAACAATGGCCTTAAATTATTCTCAAAACGTGTCTCCCCATTATAATCAGAAAACTGTGACTATATATTTTCTTTTGCTATCTTTACAGTATCCTTGAGTTGGAATTACAATGTACATTTTTTTATAATTATAGCTGAATTTAAAAAACACGTAATTGAAACAGCTAGTCCAGCAATAAATAATATAAATTAAATGATAATTATTTTTCAATAAGAGTGAGATAAAACTTAAAACTCATATATTAAATACTATACTTAGAATCTCAATATGAAAATAATTTATTACTTTTTAAGACTTTGTAACTATTTTTATTTATATACTTATATTATTACTTAAAAACACATACGGTAAAAAATATATTGTTATACATTAAAAATAGTAACATGGCATTGGATTTTAAAAAACACTATTTTTTAGAGAATTTAGAATAAGTGGGAGGGGGTTAATCTCTGCGACCTTAGAGATCTATTGTGTCCCCCTTTCGTGAGTTATAACTCATCATACAGTCCCAGGACTTCCTACCGAGACCCGTGTCCTTCACAGTCGAGGAGCTACGATGTGGCTACGACCCAGGCCGGGTAGACGAAACGGTAGCTTGTGTCGCCTGTTGGGTTTAGAGTAGCGATGGGAACTATCGAATGAATTAGACTATCGAATGGTTAATGAATGAATGATTTCAACTATCGAATGGTTTTATTCGAATAAAATCATTCATTCATTTGTATACTAAAGCATATGTGACAACCTCGCCGTGCGACTAAATGGTTATCGTTGAGCCACGACTATCGAATGC